TAATAATAATAATAATAATAATAATAATAATAGTAATAATAATAGTAATAATAATAATAATAACAATAATAATAATAATAAGAATAAGAATAATAATGATGATAATGATGATGATGATGATGATGATGATTGTAATAGTGGTGGTGGTAGTGGTGGTGGTAGTGGTAATAATAATAGCGAGAGTAATATATAGTTGAGGAAATATCAGTGATGGTAGTGGAGTAGTAATGGTAGTGGAGGGAGACTAATATTATTAGTAAGAGTAGTAGTACTAATAGTATAGTAATAGTAGTAGTAGTACTAGTAGTAGTAGCATTAGTAACAATAATGTTCTTGTTTTTTTTTCTTTGTTTGTTTGTAAAAGTAATATAGTAGGGTGTCTACCAAACACCTTCGGTAGAGACCAATGTACGATAAATTCTGATAACTACATCGCTCCGTGACATTGCTTTCTTTCTTTTTTTTTTTTTTCCTCGTTTTGATATCATCAAAATAGTAAACCAATAGTTTAAACGTTGTAGGTAATAATTACTATCTATATCACAGATCCAAGTGACTAAACTCCTTTAAAAATATAATATAAATATGTGTATGTGTAAGTGTATGTGTGTTTGTGTGTGTACGTGTAATGGTTCTCGCGCATAATATATATACACACATAGATATATATATATATATGTATATGTACTCGCAGATGTGATTAAAAAACAGATAAATTAAGAAGTGCGGAAACTTGGAAAACTCGTGTAGTTTATGCTAACATCGATGTACCACGACAGATTGGTAAAACGAGGAAAATCCAAGAATCGAGGAAACGATCGATGGTTGTTGCGTACGTTTGTGCACGTCCCTTCGAACGGTGCTATTTAATTCTTGTTAAAATACGCTCAATATAGAAATCCATTAAATGGACCGAGAAGTATCGAGTACAAAACGGTAATCAATTTACAATTGATCCACTCATTTCCATTTTAAAAAATTAAAATAAAATCGGTGCATAAAAATCGTTTGGTATCGTTAATCAACGATTGAATATAAGCATCCGGTCATGATCCAGAAAGCGGATGCTCTTTAGGCACTTTGTTTGTAACCAGCACCATTAAATGACATGCGATCGAAGAGGTCCGCGTATGGGGGCGAATTAATCACTCCGTTCGTGGTAAAAATCGTGATTGCTGGCATAAACTGACTCTATTCATTGTTGCGTTGAATATATTCGGGATACTCGATAGGAGAACTCGTGTTCGAGTACTGAGCGTACAGATAAAGTGCAGGGTGAAGCCCTGGCGGAGGAATGCCGCGATGCAGTTGCTGCGATTGATGATGCGACTCCGATGAATCTATAGGGGATGATATATGCGGATAAAGTTGGGAGTTGAGGCTATCCAGCGAACTGGAAGAGCCTGTCGTTTGGTAGACACTCTGCGGTGTGGTGTGCTCGTGAGACACAGGTGAGTTAAGTGTGAACGGCGAAGACGCCGAGGTGGGACATACTACTTGCTGCGGTGATTGATGTTGCGGTAGGGGCTCGGACACGCTGTCATCTAAACACTAGTTGGTAGTCTGCGGATGTAGCAATGGTAGAGGAAGTTGAAGATTATTTTGCTTGGCTAAACTTGCGATTTCAGCCGCGATCCCTCCTTTAGAACCGGTCAATCCGTCCAACGAGGAAGGTCCTTCGCTGTAGCGTAAATCACAAACTGGACTTTCGAAGCCCGTACCTGGTGTACCACCACCAGTGCTTTGAGGTGTAGGTGGATTATGATTCGTACTGCTTTGATTCATATCGCGGTGTACTCGATTTTGATGCCGTATTAGATAACTATCACGTACAAATGTACGTCCGCATATGTTACACTCGTACGTAGTACTTGCTGTATGGGTACGGATGTGTATTGCGAATTGACTCTTGGACGTGAATGTGAGAGAACATCTATCGCACACCAAAGGCTTTTCGGCAACATGACTCCAACGGTGTGCCGTCACATAGCTTTTCACTGCAAAACGTTTCTGACAAATGTCGCAGGCGTATGGTCTCTCTCCTGTGTGCACTCTTTTATGAGTATTAAGACTGCTTTTTTGAGTAAACCTTTTCAAGCACAACTCACATTGAAAGGGTCGTTCTCCTGTGTGCGTCCTCATGTGCACTTCCAAATATGGTTTCCGGCAGAAACTTGCTTCGCATACTGTACAATGATATGGTTTGTTGCCCGAATGAAGTTTCATATGTACATAGTACGATGAAGCAGAAGACAGCACCTTGCCACATACCTTACAAGGTTGTGGCTTTGACCGTGAACCTTCTTTAACTGTCTGTTGTCCTGTCGACTGACGGCTTGGAACTTCCTGTTGCACAGTCTGACTCTGCTGTTGTTGACCCTGCTGCGTTTGCTGATTCTGTTGTTGAGTTTGTTGTTGACCCTGTTGCTGGTTTAACTGTAATGTTGTCTGCTGCTGGGCTTGTAGATGACCTTCTTGTTGTGAAAGATCTTCACGATCATCAGATAAATTCACCATAGAATTTGAACCATCCGAACGGCTTGAAGCAACAGAATAAAACCCCATGGGTTCACTTTTGATTTGTTGTTCAAACATGGACGTCATTATATCAGTCTGTTCCTGTTGAGCCAGCTGTTGTGATTGTGGCTCCTGCTGCTGCACTGCTTCTTGATGTGGGAGCAGAGTCAGGTTGCGCTTGACAAGCTGCTCATATCCTGCGTACCAATCCACCTGCATGACAGGGAACCTCTATAAATCGCCATTTATGACACTCGTTGTGGCGCAAAAATTTGCGACGATGTAGGTACACTCGTAATTCTGGGATCATGCATGCCCAACTCATATATACCGCGTGTCAGGTTAGACCAATTGCTTTGACATTTATCTTTGACAAGTGACAGAAGGTAGCTGGATGATCAGCTGATTGCATAACTTTTACGCGAAGCACTCGAAGACGGCACGATGCCGCCGTCAACAGAACGTAACCCAGCAGTGAGCAACACGGGCAACTCTATTTTTAAAAAAGCGACGGGAGAAACGGCGGAATATTTTGACTGCGAAACCGGATTCTTCGTAAGCGCTTCGCAAGTGGGGGTCGCTTTTGCTTTAGCCGAGCAAGAAAGCAACATTCTACGAACCTTTGCTAATGTAGTGGTCCGGGCTAGGGTCGAAAAACGTCACGCCTCATCGAGCGCACGCCTCCCGTTCTCAAGCGGTTTCACGGACAATCGCGAAACATTTGTACGGCCAAATTGTTTTTCTCCGACACAAAATATAAGATGGCTGCTACTATATTTCGCGACCGTCACCTATATGTACTTATACAAACACACGCACCTAAGTACCGACCGACGATATTCGCCAACTTTTCTAATTGGCTGCCCTTCTTAAACCGCGAATATTACGCTCTACTACGACCAACATCGCACTTCGAAAACCTCTGATTGGATCGATCTTTCGCAAAGCTTTATTCACCTGTTTGATTTTATGCATATTTAATGGACAAACTTTCTTAATATAAGTAACTTTATCACCTTCCATTAATCAGAAGTTGTATGTTAACTCGGTAGATATTTATTATATATTATTGTAAAATTATATATAAACATAAATTTTTTTTAACAAATTTGAATTTTTTATTTTATTTTTTCTAAATTATAAATTTTATTTCAAAAATAAATATATAATCGAAAAATTTCAAATTTGATCGAGACAACAAAGTGAAGGACTATATAGGTAATATATATAGATATAACGCATTTATAAACGAAAGTTGAAATTTACAATACTTTTGAATGATATTTGTAACTGAAATTTGATAGAAACCAAATAATCATATTTAAGAGGTGTTTAAATTACAAATATTGATTTGCTGTATCATTTATATATATTTTCTGTATCTTTTCATTATTGCTTCATTAATTCAACCGGGTAGAACAATGTTTGTAAATATACGTTATTGTGCGCAGTATTTTAATCCTCGATGTGATCACACTAAACTCGCCTTGAATGACGACATTCTAGGAACTCTTGGAGCCTATCAAATGTAATATTGAACTGCTAATAGTCGACTATAATGTTCCTAAAAGAAGCAGGCAACCAACTCGAAAAATTGTGTCGGAAGTATTGAACAAGGAATTTACTTATAAACATTACTGCCCACTAAGTACCTTTTGAGAATTATTGAAAAAGTATAACGTTTATTACAACCTAAATAATATTAATAAATTTTGATCTGATTTTAATCTACAACAGATAGGTACACTTGAAAAAATATATAAATATATGATTAAATAATTAATTTATGAAGATAATAATTGTCTTTTTTGATAATATACCTATAATATATATTAATTTTATTAATTATTAATTCTAATAATTGAAATAATATTTAATATATATCTATTATAACTTTAAAGAAATTATAATTTCAGTTTTAATTTCAGTTTACTAATAGATAATATTATAGTTTTTTTTATTTATGTTATTATAAAATTTAAACTTCAATTATTGATAAATTTGCTAATTTTTACTTATTTTAAACTTTTAGTTTCAAGAATGGCTGTATCATCGGAAAGTGTTATGAATCCTGGCCTTAATGACCCTGTAACCAAAGCAGTAGTAGATAATATAATGGGAAATTTACCTACAAAGAAACCCCTTGTTCGCTGTGATGATTGTGATCTTTCATTTACTAGTCAGACAGTATTAGATACACATTTACAAGGGGCACGTCATGCTAAACAGGTTTGTAAAAATAAAATAATGAAAAAGATAAAAAACAAATGTATAAATGAAAAGTTGAAGTATGAGATAACACACATGCAATATAAAGAAGAATTAAAGAAACAAAATAAATTTTAATAAATATTTTAATAAATATTTTATAAATAAAATAATAAAATAACATCAGAAATGAGAGATGTAGAGACATATACTTGTTTTACAGATTAGATCAAAAAATATAATGGCATCTCTTGAAGAAACCAAAATAGCATTTACAAAAGATGAAGAAACAAATGGATTGAAATGCAATGTGTGTAATGTGTGTCTAAACTCAATACAACAACTTCAAACACATTTAAATGGTATTTTTTAAACTAAAATTTATTTCATTTATTTATATATTTGTAATGAATAAAATAAACTTTATTTCCTATAGGGAGCCGACACAAAAAGAAAGCCATGAGAGGTAATAAACCTTATATGGTACGAAAACCACTACCATATGGGTTTAGATGTAGTCGCACTATATGTATGGATAAAACAATAGAAAAGAATATTGCTATACTAATTTATTGCCTACTCTTGTTTACATTTGCATGCTTAACACTTTTGCTTACTTTTGCTTTTCAAATGTTTTTTTGAACTAATAAGAAATTTCATGCTTACTATCTAAGCTTACTAGCTAAATTAATCAAATGCTATTGAAAATATATCAGTGATACTTTCATGTTTGTTGTAATTCATGCATTGTTATTTGATATTTATTATTTATTTATTATGTATTATTTATTATTTATTTATATCAAATTGAAATTATATATTATTTATTATTGATTTATGTCCTTGAACATATTGTCATAAAATAATAACTCGATTACGAGTTGCTTAATTTCATATTATGATTAATAAAATTAATATTCTTTTCAACATAATTTAACTCTTCCACCTTATTAATTGTTATTTTGTTTTTATAGAATATTGTGTACAAATTTTTTTGTATGTTATTAATCATTTTTTTCAATTATTTAATAAAGAAGTGAAAAATTTTAAAAGGAAGTATATGCAAAATAATATAATAATATAATACAAAAATGCATTCTAAATACTTATTTTAAAGAGGTAAAGTTTCTTATACACATGCATATACATATATATATTTTTCAAATTTTATGACAATTTTTTGTTAAAAAAATTTGAATTAACAGTTGCTTTTTCCATAGCATGAATGTAGTGTTCAAGCTGATTTATTATCACATTTAACCGCTTTAGCGGTTGTGATACATAGATAGTGTTGATCGCACATTGATGCTTAGGTGGGAGGGCTGGCAAAGATGTTGGCAGTTCGGTGACATCAACAACCACAAATGTCCAAGAAAATACTGGTTCTAAAGGTGTACTTTCATGCGGTTTGTGTAACAAAATTTTTAACTCTATGGCACAATATAATGTGGTATGTTATCAAAGAAAAAATATTATTACATTATATTACAAATAAGTATTATCGATCATTTAATCATAACTTATGTTTAATTATAGCATATAACATCCAAAAAACATACTGGTAAATTAAAACAAGCTAAAACTCAAAAAAAGAAAAGATTTTTTCCATATTGGAAAAAACCTAAAACTGGTGTAAATCCTAAAAATCTTGTTCAATCACTATCAAACAATTTTGTATCAGGAGGTTTCACAAATCAGACATAGGAAAATAATGTAATAAATTGAATATATTATCTATTTTAATAAACACATGAATTATTTAGATATGTACATTTTATTCTTTATAAAAAAAAAAAAATTTGAAGATCATATTGCTTCAAATGATAAAATTAATTTGATATTTAAATGTTCATTATTAACAATACACATATAATATACATAATGTCATATATAATTTTTTAATTCATCATCATTAAAATTTTGCTATGTTAAAATACATACTCTCCCTCTTCGCACTATTTCTTTAAAACTTAATGTAAATATATAATTAAAATATAATTGGTTTAAATTTAAATATAAATTAAATATAACTGATATAATTTTTTATATATTATATATTTTGGATGATTTAAGAAAAATAAATTGTACAAAGTGTGAGTATCGTGTTAAAATATATAATTAATAATTGACAATGTCTTTAAAAAAATTAAATGAAATAGTGCAAAAAGGTATTAAAGTATTGTATGAATGTATATATATCCATTTAATAATTAATGCAAAAATATATAATGTTATAAGTAATAATAATTTATAATTTTTATTGATCCTATTACATATAAAATGTAGAATCCATTATATCCTTTTGAATTTGCTGCATGATTTCAGGCTGAAATTCATATATATATATATATATAATCTAACAATATATCATATTAGTAACAAGATATTTTATTTTTCATTTAATATTACCTCTGGCATATTTCCACTTAGTAAACGACGCATTTCAGTATTTTGTTTTCGTAATGCTTTTATCTCAGCATTTAATTTATGCCTTTCTTTTAACACTTTATAATACTGTTTAAGACCAACCAACAAATTATCCCATAATTTTTCTTTGTCTTTCGAAAACATATTTCGATATCGTTCCCAAAATTCTATTATATCTTTTTCCGTTATATTACGAGATACTGTTATTTTCTCTTTTATTACATCTTTATCCAATGAAATTTCTTTCTTAACGAATTCACATCTTTCCACAAATTCTTTTATTGCATTTAAAACAAATTCAGTCTCAATTGCCAATAAATGACCTTTATCGCATGTTAATAATCTTTTTGATTCACCATCAGCTACAAAAATAAAAATTAATAAATAATCATAATAATATTATAATAACCAATATTTTCTTACTGTATAAAATAATTTATCTTGATAATTATTACATTGTTTTTAAAAGATATTAAGTTTCCTTTAATAAATAAGAATAATTAAAATAGAGTTATATTCGATTACAATTTAATATTATAATAATATTAATACAAAATTAATAAATAATAAGAGAAAAAAATTGATTTGTTATTTTTTGACAGATTGGTTAATACATTGGTAATTAATTACTGTTACGTACCATCGGTAACTTCAATAATGCCTTCAGAAATACAAGTCGATGCAATATATGTTTCAACAGGTGTTGAATCAATCGAAGAAGATTCTTCTGATATACTTTCCTTCATCTGACTCTCAGTCTCATGTTTATCGTCAGTTTTTGATTCATCATAAAGCGCCGCTTTCACAGCTCCTATTAACTTAATTTGTTCCATATCGAAATCGTTTTCACAAGTGTCGGGAAGAGTGCTTCTAAAATATTTATTTTTC